TTCTCGAAAGAGACAGTTGCGGTTTGACTTTCGTAAGCGACCCACTAAGTCTTCGTATTTTGGCTGGTGGCCTTACGGATGGTTCGACTGTAATTGCACTAACCTGCCATCAGGCAGGAAGCAGACAATGGAGAAGACGAGACATTGTGTAGTCACTAGACACACTGTAAGATCTCTAAGTTCGCTGTATGTACTACGCTGCTCGGAGTGTGCGGAGAACTACATGAATTAGTGACAACACGGAAAAACACATATCGTAACTTTATATGCAATAAGTTCTCTTCCAAAAGGTAAGTTTATCGCCAGTTTGGTCACCTCTTCTCGAAAGAGAAATTGCAGTTTGACTTTCGTAAGCGACACACTAAATCTTCGCATTTTGGCTGGTGGCCTTACGGATGGTTCGACTGTAATAGCACTAACCTGCGATCAGGCAGGAAGCAGACAATGGAGAAGACGATACATTGTTTAGTCGCGCAAGAGAATTATTAAATAAATTTTAACGGGAGATTTTCTCCTGAATCACTACCACGGGATGATCGCTTGACTAATCACTAATCAAAATTGGGTCAATACAGTGCCGACTTCAGACTTTACTGATTTTTGAACTGTTAGAAACCTCGTGCGTTTGTTTCGACCAGGCTATTATTTTCAGAGAACAGAAAGTGAATCTCCTACGAAACTAAACTAAGCGAAAACACCGAAGGTCGGCATTCGTTCGCCAAATCAACGCGTCTTGCATTATAAAACTTAAAATTTAATGTGTTTGTTCTCTTAATGATAATCACAATTAGCCAATCAGCGTGCGAGATATAATTCAGTTATTGTAAAAAAATATCAAAATATAATCCTTTCTATATTTTTTTTGCATTTTATTAACATATATTTGAAACCCCACAGACTTTCAATCTTTTACCGGAGTAGAATGACTCAAAACGTTGTGGAATCTAGACGGACACCTACTTCGAGAAAAAAAAAGCCGATGAGCAAATGGCACGTTGAATTGACATGGTGAAAATACCCTAAATTTGAATTTTTTTTCGGCATGATTAAACAAATGTTTGATTTCAATGTATAAAATGAGCATGTTATAGGTTGAGTTCACCGTGACGTTTTGTACACTCTTGAATGCGTGATGAAATGACTGCACTACGTTCGAAAATTAGTTCTGACCAAGAAAGTTTAGGTTAGTTTTTCAGGCTATCAGCCTGTTCGACAAAGTTAAGACGAAGGTTATTCTTCGTTTTATTACAAAGTTCTAAACAGAGATATCAGGAAGTAATCATAAGGTGAGTGGTATCTTGAGGGACAACCAACCGTGTAAATGTGATTTTCAGTGCTTATACTAGTTGTATTGGCGATAGAAATGAGCGACATTTATTCGTAATGTAAAGGCGCTCATAGATCAAGAAGGTTTTTTTTGCAGCGGTTTTCCCATATTTTCACCTTTCATACCAGTAGTATATATCCATGGTCTAGCCAAATGTCCCGTATGTCACGCAAATATATGAATAGATCGGGGAATTATCACTAAACTGCAATAATCTATTTTTTTTAGCCTAAAAAAAAGTGGAAGTTTAAGTCATAATAATATTGCAATAGAAAAAAGGAACGGAAATTAGATTACACATTATCTTTTAACAGATGTTTAGGCAGCGATTCTTACATAATTTGCCATGTTGTAATTATGCAAAATAAACATCTGTAAAAAGGGGAAAATTAACTCCAGCATATCTTGGATTTACCACTGAAAAGAATAACTCTAAGATTTTGAACGTACCTTTGTAACCTATGCTTATCTGTATCAATATTTCATAACAAATCATTGGACCTCTTCATGGTTTCTGAGATAGACAACGCGTTGGAACGAGAATAGTTATTTACCTTTGTCTCGTGGAAGTCGTTCGTCTTGAGATAACATGGGGTAACAAACCTATGTTGAGGTCGCTATGAAGGAGAAATACGGCGAAAGAGGATAATTCCCTTGAATGGCAAACTTTACAGCGAAACATTATAACCCCATACATTAATTATGCATACATTCATTGTTTAAAGAAAACAAAAGACAGAACAATACTAAGCTCAGCTATTGTTTTAGAAATTTTTAATTTTTTTTCTAAGTCTTTTTTGAAACTCGCTAAATTTGGCGCTTTTTGAACTAATATAAAAACTTTTTGGAACAAATTTCGAACTATCTTCGCTTTCCGAAACCTAACTTTATCTAGAGATAGTGATAATCAATGTAATTAGTGGCGTTGAGTAAACTATCCATCGATCGTAACACAGGGTTTAATAAACAATTAAAGTAAAATAAAAAGTCTACCTTATTCCTTAGAGTTTCCTTTTTTCCTGAACTATATTTTCGAGTTTCCACCTTCTCCTCCTACGTCTGATCTGCCTGTTTTATTTAGCCCTTTAGGCGCCGTTCCCAATGTCATTATAAAGTTCGACGATATGCTTTACTATCATGCTTCCAAAGAGAACTTCACCGTAATGCCTACGCCACATATTTAAAACTCCTGCCAGTAGTTGCTTTTGCGGAATAGTTCTTTGAATGTTCCTGTACAGGGCAAACCATGCTTTACCCCTCCATCTATTTTCGATGCGCTGCGTGTCGGCTCCTGTATCAGCTGGGTGTATTTTACAAAGCTTGGGCTGTTCCTAGCCCTCCCCTTGTAGATGTTTATAAGACCCATACTCGTCGCTCATCACGTCTGTAAACCTCCAAAATTTGAGCACGAATGATGGCCAAACTGAGTTGCGTTATTCCTGCTCTTCTTGGACAACGGCCGGGGTATTTTTGAAAAACGCCGAATGACCTTGAAGTTTAGTTATTAGGGTTAGGAAACTGAGTGAATCAACTTTCATTTAAGTCCGTTCCCAAAGCTCTTGCACATTTAACAGAAGTTGTAAGGGCAGCTTATGTTTTCCTTACACCACTCTATGTAATTGTAATTGTAAATATCTTATTATCCACTCCCCTCAGGGCTTTTCAGGGATAATTTACAACACTGGTTGGGGGACTTTGCCAGACTGCTTAAGGTGCAGTTTACAAGTAGTGAAGGAATGAGTAATGATGCCCCCATACATGAGTGTGAAAGTGAGATAGGCCACTACACCGGGCACTACGTGCCCTACACTTTACGAAGAGTGTGTGGGTTCTTTAACGTCCCACAGATTTAATACATGTGCAAGGGCTTGTGAGACGGGGCCTACGGTTTATCGTCCTTATCCGAGAAGACTAGAAAGTCTAGCCGTTTGCAGATATTATTACAAAGGCAGCACTTTCTCCTCAGTTATTTAAAGACCCTGAGTGTTGGTCCGGCCGGGGTTTGAACCCGTGACCTCCCGCTCAGTAGACCGGCGCTCTCCCAACTGAGCTCACCAGGCGGCGGTGTACCGGTGTACCGGTCGCGGTCATCATCCACCAGTATTCTGGAGAGCCTTTCAAAAGTTTAGTTGAGACATACTAAGCATGAAAGTTGACCAAGTCCATGACAAGTGTAATACAAGAGAGGAGTGTTTGTGAAGCTTGTGCGTGCTTGTTATTGCCTGAAGAGATGCATGTTTTCGTGGATATGTTACAAGCAAAAGCGTGAATAATTTACATGAATACACATTTCAGTCCTTTTGTTATGTATATTTGAACTTGAGCACGCAAAAAGATATCAATTTTTTGACCAGGGAATCTCAACAAATCGTCGTGGTCTAGTGATATGGCAGAGAGACAGGTACGCCGGAGCTACAGGGAAGCATTGGTTCAAATCTCGCCGTCTACCGAGAAAAAAAAAGGAAAAAGGAAACCGGGGGGCACTGGAGAGAGTGGTAGGTGAATGAGAGGGGAAAAAAGAGAAAGAGAGGGGTGGAAAAAGATAAAAAAGACAAAAATTGAAATCCTTTTTTACTAACGCAGTAAGTATTCATTACCGATGTATATATGCAATACTCTGGGGAATTCACCATTGTCTTAGAAGACAATAAGGCGGATGCATTATTAATGACACAGAATGCATAATTAATGTATGGGGTTATACGGAAATTTTTCCAAACATTAAATTAAGTCGAGGTTGGACAATTTAGAGGACCACTCTGAGTCTAAACAATAAAGGTTTTTACCCGCAAGGTTCAAATGCGACTAGAGGCCATACCGTACTGAGTCCTTGAAATTTCTTTCTTTTTTTCGGCGTTGAGGAGTATAACACGCTGGCTTAGCAGAATTCTAAAGATCGTTGCGTGGTCTTATGCGAGCTAAATTTTAATCAAGTATCCTGATTACAATTTTCGGATCTCAGTATAATTGTCTCGGTCTGAAATGGGTAAATGAAATTCAGCGTATCAATATCAAGCATTCAAAAGTAAGAGGAAAGTGTTTGTCTTTTAGTACTTTGGTTAATTTCTCGACGAAAGCGTTGCTTCTAATAAAAGCCATGAAAAATATTCAGAAATTATAAGCAACCTAAATATACATACATATTATTCATGAGGTATAGGTTACATAAAGGTCGTCTTTCACAGGGCAATAATTGGCTACTTGTTTTTGACATCTGTTTGTTTGTCATTTTTTGATCCGACCGCAGACAATGACGTATTTCATTGTAAGTATTGTAAAGGTTTTCACACAGCATCGAGAAAGGACGTTTCACGGGTCATAATTTGTTCAAACCACTTGTTCTCACTTAGGTGAGAAACGGAGAACAATAGCGCATTGTTTGTTTGCTAAGCCGACAACAATCAAATTTCAAACCTTTTGTGTTTTTTTATTTTTGTCTTGGTATTTTTGGAGGGGCCAGTACACTTGTGAGAGCGGCAATGGATAGTGACGACGAAATTTTCCTAACGCATGCAAAATACTTTCTCTCAGGAGCCTTTTTCCCCTGAGTTGAATTTGAAAGAGTTAGTGGGAGACTTTAGAAAACAATGTATCCTACCTCACTCCACAACAGAAATACAAGTCTACGGATGATGATATAGATCATTTACAATTCGGGTGCAAGAGGATAAAAATGTCAGTCCGTTTTAATGGTCGCAAGCCGGAGACGGTAATTAGAAGTTTCAGTTCTAAGTTTCCGCATAAATCTTACAATCAACTATCTCAAAGATCTTTACCCCCTACCCCCACAAACAAAGCAAATGACATCTACTAAACACGTAAAAACAAGTGGGACCACATTGTGACGTATTGCTAAGAGGTATAATGTTCAACCGAGTGGATTTTTCTCCATTTGAAGCAAGATGTTTACCGTGCAAGAAGTCCGTGTACAGTGGTTGTTGGCTTTCTTCTTCATAGGTTCACCTACTTACCAAGACGTTGAAGGTATAAAAGAGATCATTCATCTCTATATTTCGGTTTTGCAACTTATTTTTATTATTTTTACTTTTTTGTATTTCCCAGCGCTAAGTATCAAACCTGGAGTATGCAATTTCACCATTACTACTCCTGGTCTGTTTGCGTGTGAAAAGGTTTCCTTTGAGAAGCCTTTCAATGGAGGGCAGGATGTGAAAGTTTTCGTCTCCAAAAGCCACACAACAAAGAATTATAGTGGTGGAGATGGCGCGGCTATTTGGGTGGAATCTGTAGATAATAAAGAATTTACAGTCAGTTTGTGTTTTAGAGTACGGAGATGGTTCTAGTGGGACTACGAAAGTGAACTGGATGGCGCTGCAATCTGTTCCTGTTGGCGCTCGACTAGACACCGCCTCGTTGGATTCTTGGACCACTGGAGAAAAGTGTAAAAGGATCGCCTTTGAAAAGTTTGCCGCTGTTTCCCCTTGCGTTTTCGTTAAGTTAATAGTTCTTACTGATTTAGGTATTTCTGTTTGCTCAAACCTAGACACAAGATTTCACTACGTTATTTTTTGAGCTTTGCTTGAATGATTGGCTTTAACTTCCTCTTTCTTTATTTAGCTCGTAGGGGCTGCGGACTTTCCATTTGACTTCTTCCTTATATCTTTAAGTCATGCGATATAACATTGTTGCATTATAAAATACGATTCTTTATTCGTTTACCAAGATGTTACATATATTGCTACCTCTATTTTCTTCCATCAAAGTTATCTTGCAATCTGTCCTCCACTATTCTTGATCATTTCAATGTTTTTATTTACATTAATACATCTTTAAAAAGCTTTAACAATCTTCATATTTTTGCTAATTTTTGCTCTAAAAAATTTAGTGAGAAAGTCTATATTTCGATTCCTTTTGTATCTACGTTGCCAGGTTCATGATTCTCGTTTTATTTGCAGATTTGCAAATTCTGTGTTTAATTCGTAAAACTGTTCTTAGTATTTCATCTGCACTAGGAAATTCCATCCAATTTGCTTCTTTCAAGTTCAACATGTTTTTTTCTATCACACTTCCATCGTTTTATATCATACCCTTGTTTGTTTGAAAAAAAAAATGTAATTGATTATTTATTTTCTTCTCTTTTACTTTTTCAGCGTTTCTCAATTCCTCCGAGCATCTACGTAACAGCTCGTCACCAAATTCTCAAGAGACCTCAGGACGCCTTGGCCTTGTGGGTAGAGGATGTACGCAGAGACAGTTTTAAGGTTTGCCTCAGGGAAACTAAGAATTTTGATGGACTGCATAAAAACATCAAGGTGGTAAGTGAATTCCTTTTGTTACCTGTTACATGTTTGAAAGTAGACTCACACGACAACCAAGCGGTTCCTCCCTTGCTGCAACTTACAGGGGCTGTGCTCTAGCAGAACCCAGTTGCCCCTGAGCTCTACCTTTGCTCTTTGCCTACCAGGAAATCGTAGCTTTTTTCATAGAGATCCTATGTTGGGTTCCCTGTGATTTACACAGGTTCAGAGCAATGGGCTAACTTCTCTTAGAAACAACCTTGACTTGAGAAAGAATATATTGATAACATTGTTAATACTTTTTCACTTGTCCTTCAGGACTGGATAGCATTTGTTAAGCTGATGACGCTGAATTCTACCTTGATCCATGGCCTTGTAATAACAAAGAATAACTCACCACTAAACAAGCAACAAAACAACGCTGTCTGTCAGGTAAAGTAACTAATGAACTATATATACTGTTTTGGTTTCTCAGTCACTTATATTCATAAATAGAAAATCTTTCATACGTTCATCGAGCTGTAATGTTGTTATCGTCAACTATTTAATCAACATATATCATATACCGCATATGTGTAGAAAAACGTCAGAACGCTGATTCTTTTCTTGTTTTTTTAGATAATAAAGTTCACTGATGCTTTCTATGCCCCTCCGGTAGTAATGGTTTCACCAAGACTCAGTTACCGTAACAACAACTCTCGTTTCTCGGCTTCCGCAACTTGTAACGCAGTTACTGCGTGGATTCAGGTAACAAATATGAAACTTGGAGCCATTTTTCTTAGTCCATTGCGTCCTTAGGCTGCCTTCTTATCTTTTCCTGTCGAACTTACTTTTAGAATTGTCTCTGTTTCAATTTTTCATGTCGTTTAAGGAGTCCAAAAAAGTTTTTTTTTGTTTCATTTTTTCCCAATTTTTCCAACCAACCTGTGCACGCCACGGTTTCGCTTTCTGAACGACCTTGGTGTACCTAGTGACATAGCAGTTAAGGTAAGAAAATACCTGATGATGCTTAATGATTGATAATCTGATACTTCTAATGATTGTGTCTAGCATACCTTTACAAACGAAACCGAGGTGTGTATGAGAAGATACAGCAATAACGCTAATTATAAGGACATCGTACAACTGGATTACCTGGTGATTGGAGGTACGTAAACAATATATCAAAACCTTGGTGAAGGCTGTATGCTGCAGTGTATCAAGTACATTTTATGACATGAATCTTTTGAAGTTGTTTCATGCAGAGCTTTTTTTCTCTAATTGATGCTATTTTTTTGTTGTCTCTATTTTTGGGGATTGTAGATTTGGTTGACTGAGCTGAAAAACGGGATCATATGCATTCTTATCCTTTTCTTAGAGTCGCCAGTGTTGTTGCATCTACCTGCAATGCATCTTATTGGTATCTTAAAGCAGTTTCAGCTTGTAAATTGGACGAACGTTTTGTAGAATCTATATTTTACTTTACTTTTTATACTATCTAAAGTCACGTGTTCCTTAATTTACGTTACAGTTTCTTAATATACGTTAGAGCCCCTTTGTTTCCGGGAGGCATCCGAGTGAAGACTTGCACGAATGGTGTGCCAAAGTGGCGGTAAATTTGAACGTGTCAAAAAATTCTCTTTAATAACATTGTGTTCAAATCAATTATTTTTTTTTTGCCGCACGTTCTCATAGTAATGTGCATTTTCAATTCTAAAAAAATAACTTTTTAAGTTATGGGCGCTTTAAATCCATCTGTTGTTATTTGCTTAATTATCTTCAGACTTGGATCCCTGCATAGACGTTACGTGTTATTATCACAGCTTCTGTAAGGCGTTTGGACCCCATGATGCACGCTGTGTATGTGTGGATAGCTGCCCATCTTACAAAGAACCCGTTTGCTCATCAAATGGCACAACGTACGACAACAGATGTTTGTTTGAAAGAGAAGTTTGTCTACATCGACTAAACTTAACCGTGCAACATCCTGGCAGCTGTGAAGGTTAGTACAATTGTTTTTGACTCTGTTAAAAAGTGATTTTTCTTTTTATTAGATTTCAGTATTAATCCCTTAGTGAATTTTTCGAATAAGCTATTTACTTACCCATGTAATCTGGAGGGAAAAACGGCGATAGATGCATAACTTTATGGAAGTACAGAATTTTACGTAATTTTCCTAAAACGTTTGTCATGCACAGGAGCAATGCTAATAAGAATACTGGTCAGAAAAAGTGGCGGATACACTTATATTTAAGCATTTTCAGTTAATACTCAACGAAAATATTTGTTTTTTTTTATATATGTATCACTGAGGCAAATTTAAAACTGATTCTTCTCTCTGGGATCAGTAGTATAGTAGTAGTAGTAGTAGTAGTAGTAGTAGTAGTAGTAGTAGTAGTAGTAGTAGTAGTAGTAGTAGTAGTAGTAGTAGTAGTAGTAGTGGTAGTAGTAGTAGTAGTAGTAGTAGTAGTAGTAGAGTAGTAGTAGTAGTAGTAGTAGTAGTAGTAGTAGTAGTAGTAGTAGTAGTAGTAGTAGTAGTAGTAGTAGTAGTAGTAGTAGTAGTAGTAGTAGTAGTAGTAGTAGTAGTAGTAGTAGTAGTAGTAGTAGTAGTAGTAGTAGTAGTAGTAGTAGTAGTAGTAGTAGTAGTGGTGGTGGTGGTGGTGGTGGTGGTGGTAGTGGTAGTGGTAGTAATAGTAATAGTAATAAATTGCTTTATTTGCATGACCGCATCACTTTACAGTATTGCAAAAGCATGTATATGACAATCAAAATGAAAACAAAACAGCACTAATAACAATCTAGAAAAATTCGGTTACATTACTAACAATGAATCAAGTATTTTCATGCAGGAGGAGACAAACTTCATAACTAACTTATTTACATGATGTTCCTTCGAATTCATTATCAGTTTTATGCTTTCCGGAGATGATTTCTTGTCAAAGTCAGGTATTATTCGATTGATTTGATTAATAAATGCCTGTCTCTGTACTGAGTATTTGTTACATTGAAAGAGGAAATGAATCTCATCTTCTACCTGATTTGAGTTACATAAAGGACATAATCTATTTTCTCTTGGCAAATGATCGATTTGGTATCGACCATGTTCAATCATAAGTTTGTGATTACTTATTTTAAATTTAACAAAATTCTGTCGTTCGTCATAATGTCTTAGCTGGTAGAGATAATCAGATGTAGAATATTCATATTTAAAAGTTTTATAAAATTCTAGTTTTTTTGAATTTTCGAGGCTGTGCCGCCAAAAAGATAGATATTTCTCTCTCATTTCTGTGGTATATCGTCAAATTTTATCGTTATCTAGAGATTCAGCAGCTAAACTGGTTAGATTGTATTGTTCAAGCATGTTTATGAAATTGGAAAAATATCCGGAATTATTCATAGAATGTAGATTCTTTGACATAAGGAAAGACTGTTTGACTATAGAGTCATTATCTTTGTTGTTGAGGTAAACAAAATATTTCATAATTTTCTGATTTATCGGGATAAGCAGCGGCAGTCTATCAAGTTCAGCTCTGCAGGCTATGTTAGAAGCCTTATTGTTAACCTCTAAGTAACGTTTACAGAATTTGAGATGGATTTTTTCTATTGGGGAGCTATCCCATTTTTTAAAATCTTGCTTGGTGTACATTCCCCATACCTCGCTGTTGTAACTCAAGATTGGGAATACCATGGTGTCAAAAATTTGGGATGCAGTATTAGGATTAAGTTTGTTAAGAATTGTCCGCTTCCGAATACTAGAAAACGCGTGAAGGGCCTTTTCTTTTAAGTGTTCGAGTGCAAGTGTAAAGTTTCCCGTTGGAGTTAAACGTGTACCTAAATAAGTGTATTCTTGGACAATTTCAATTGACTCACTGCCTATGTTGAATTTGATGTCAATAGATTTTTTTGGGCGTTTCTGGAATATCATAATTTTTGTTCTCTTGGGATTAATTTTTAGCTTCCATTTGTCACAATACAAAGAAAGCGCATTTAAACAGTTCTGTAATCCAGTTTTCGATCTTGATAGAATAACTAAATCATCTGCGTAGAAAAGTGAATTTAGTTTTTTCCCATTTGGGAGAACAAATGGGTCAGATAAGGTGTTTTCGAATAAAAGTGGTAGATTGTTTAAATAGAGGTTAAATAAAAGAGGGCTTAAAATACAGCCTTGGCGTACACCTCTGGAATATGAAAAAGGCTGTGTTTTGTTTTCACCGATTTTGATGGAACATGTCGAGTTGCAATAAAGACTTTTCATGAGGTTGTACAAGTTTCCTCCTATATTCGTTTTTAGCAGCTTATAAAACAATCCTTCGTGCCAAACAGAGTCAAACGCTTTGCGGAAATCTACGAAACAAGCGTAGACTTTTTCCTTGTGATAATGCACATATTTATCTATTAGGGTCCTTAGAGTGAAAACATGGTCTGCAGTGCGGTTTTCAGGCAAAAAGCCAATTTGGGAATTATGTAATATCTTATTTTCCTCAAAATACAAGTGAAGTCTTCGATTTAAAATAGAACAGAACAGTTTTCCACGGCAACTAGAAACACATATGCCTCTGTAATTTGTTGGATCACTCTTGTCACCAGATTTGTAAATTGGGGTTATGAGGCCTTGACACCAAACATCTGGCATTTTTCCGGATTGTAAAATGAGGTTAAAAAGTTTGACATAGACAGGCATTAGTGGTTCGAGGCTTGCTTTGATCATTTCATTTCGTATTTTGTCAACAAATGGTGATTTCTTATTTTTCAATTTCTTCGCCGCTTGACGTATTTCCCTCTCAGTTATCTCATAATCGAGATGGTTAAACCGTTCCTTTTCGTGTTCTAAAGAATTTAGTTCCCTATGGATTTCATGTTCATGCGTGGAATTCGTCGGGTCAATAGAATGCAGAGATTTGAAATGGTGAAGCCATGATTCTTCCGAGATTGGGGCAGGAACATTTTCGTTGAAACACTGGACGAAAAAATGGATTTACTAGGGTAGCCAAATTACAGCAAATGTGTAGCAAATACCACATTTGCACAATTTTACGCAAGAGCAAAGACTGATATTGCACTAGATTTGCTATCCGTAGCAATGACGGTAAATGCCACATTTGCACAACATTTACATCTTGGTGCAAAGATAAGGGCAGCCATGGATTTGAGGGTCATTTGCAGATGGTTCAAATGTGTAGACAAATATGTTTCTTTGAACTATATTTGCACATTACGCAAATGATAGCGCAAATCTGCTGTTTTGCACAGCTTTTGCTTTAGATGTAAAAGCATGTAAACCTGTTATTTTCAGAACGTTTACGCAGCTTTGCAAATGTGAGCGAAGTATCTAATTTGAACAATGTTTGCTTGGGTTATCATGGGTGATCAAATTTTCATATTGAACCAGATTGCTTTGCATGGCAAATGTAACCAAACTCTTTGTATTAAACATGTTTGCTCACGAAGCAAATGTTAGCAAACCTAAACTTTGAACAAATTTTCTAGGGTGTGCAAATTTGATCAAACACAAAATTTTGCTTGTAGGCAAAATGTGGTCAAAAGTCAAGTTTTGAACAAAGTTGCTTGGGCAGCAAATCCGATCAAACTGTTAGTATTGTACAATTTTTTCGCTCAGGTAGCAAATGTAATCAAATTCTGACTTTAATTTGGTTAGCAAATGTCATCAAACCCATAAAATTGAGCACGTTTTCTCCAGTAGCAAATGTAAATTCCAAGGTTTAAACGAGTTTGCTTGGGTTGTAGCAAATGCGATAAAATTTTAAAAATATTTTTAATTATAATATGGCTCACTTCAGGTTCTTAACAAGTGGCCATAATTAATCAAACATTAAAGTTACTGAAAGAAATTCTAGCAGTGACCTTCCATTAATGTTTAAATGATTTATTCCATAAACCAAAGTGGCTTACACATTATTACAGACATTACAAACTACAGTATAAAGCTGTACATACAGCTCTTCATATTAATTCCCAATTTTACTGTTCGTTGATGTTTACCTGTCTCCACTCTATGCTCTATCAGATCATTACTAACTATTAATATTATAAGAAAAGTGTTCTTCATCTAAATGTGTAAGATATTCTACATACAGCTGTAGGTGTTTCAGAGTTGCCTCAAACCTGTTTCAGTTCTGTTTTTGCAACTCAGAAACAGGTTAAAAATCCTTTCACCCTTGGACCAATTATTAATTTACTTATGACAAGACTATTTCTTACTTAAACTTTTGTATCTAAGGACCAAATTCTGTTTCAACTAAATGGAACCCTCAAGACACCATTTTAATAAATAATTAGTATTTTTGTATTCATTGCTATTTACAGATTAAACAAAATTTGATTCTGGTGGCATTTTTTTCTTTAGGCTCTATCAGGATGAAAGGCCTAATTCTTGCTACCAATTTACAATTTTTGCTGGTATAACAACTGGGTTATAGCATTTAGCAAACTAAGAAATAGTTTAGGTACATACAGCTATTCAAATTCAGATCAGACTTCTTTAACTTCATTTTCGTTGCTAATGGTTCCTGTATAGTATTGGATATGCTCTTAGAGGAAGTACCAGCCGGAGCTTCTAGTACTTGCCCCGTTCTAAGAAAATTGAGGGTCATGAAAGTAATGACCAGCTATAAGTATTCCACAGCATGTCAACATTACCATTGTCACTGTAGTTGGTCCCAATGAAAGAAGCTAATAATTATTTTAAACTCAGTATACATGTACATGTAGTACAAAAGGTTGATCTGGCTAGCCTGCAAAATAACTACACTGCTGTCTCTCATTACTCTTTTTCTTGAGTCATGTTGCAATCCTTTGCAAAATTCTGTAACAAATCATGACAAAAAGCAGGGTGTACCTAAATTTGTTTTGTTTTTTTGTTCAAGCAGGTCAGTTGCAATTGCTGTAATCGGTACAAATGTACTGTGAAGTGGTGCCAGCAGAACTCAAATGCTTGCAGTTAAGCAAACAGATTTAAAAGAAACATTTGTACATTAATTGGCCTTTTTAACCTGCTGACTGGTACATTACTTGCAAACAATAGCCAAAGGATTCTAATGAAAAATTTATCACATCACCCAATTTGATCTACCTGCCACCAGAATTCTCAGGACAAATTAATCAACACCATCAGGATTTGCACTGTTTACACAGATTTATCTTTTTCTAAAAAACAGTGTCATAAACAGAGAGTGATTAAAGGATTACTGTATTTGCAGAGCTACATGTACATGTACCTGTAAGTATGACCAGTCATAAATAATCTGGAATTTCTTTAAGAGCCTTGGATTAACTTATATTTCCTTATCACAAAGCAAATTCAGGAGCATTATCTGGTGCCTCCTGCTCTGAGGAGAAGCCATTCCTCCTTTCTATTGTCATTGAGTAATGACAAGCTTACATGTGACTGTTTTAATTTTGCTTTACTGTTCAGCTTGGCAAAGAGGTTTTTACAGGCTAAGTTGTTGACTCCTCCATGCTAGAGGCCTCCTGCAAAGCACTTTTCTCGGATTTGTCATCTCCTTGGTCTGTATTGCCTTGCTCTGAAGACCTGTACTCCACAATTATACAAGCTTTGAACTTACAACAATCCTTCTTCGAAATAGAGGTTGACTGGAAAAGGGTTGTCTCTTCAGCTTTTTCTGCAACAAACAGAAATTATACATAATTGAGACCATTAATATTGAAACTAAAGCTGTAGATGCTTGTCATGAAAAATACTATTGTCCTTTTCTGTCTAAATATTCTAGCCTTTTATAGCAAAAAAAAGTTGCTATTAGATATTACATGTATTATTACTGGCTGCAGTCACACTAGGTGACTAAACTTACTTATTTCCTGAGTTAACTGATATCAAAATTAACTAGTTTAAACAAATTGCTGGCTCGTAACTTTCATGTCTCAAATCTAACCCCAAGCGGTCATCATAATCCTGATTACACTGTACCTGTTAAAACTAAGACCTTCTTTGAGCAAAAACAAAACGAAAAAATGAATGCGAGAAACCCTTTTGTAACAAGACAATTGACTCCAGGTAAATCATTGTATTAATTTTATAGTGAGTGTCCCACTACATCACTACCATAACAACATTATTGACATATTACTTAAAACTTCATGGACCTGCTTCTTCTGCAATATTGCCATCACTTACAGTGTATCTTGGGAACAAAAGTTTAATTATACTATAATTGCCTCATATGAGGGAATCCAAGACAGTTTTAGATTCTGGATTCCACGCTGCGGATTCGGAACCTTTTTCAGTGGATTGCTTGGTTTCTGGATTCCAATCGTTTGACTTGTATTTCAGGTTTCAAAGCTCAGAATTTAGGATTCCATAACAAAATTGCCCGAATTCTGGATTCCATAAGCAAAAATTCCCGGATTCCAGAATCCCTTACATGGGGTGATCATAAAAAACAATCAGTGAAAGCAGGGTACCATGATCTAAATTCTAGCTACACTATGTTTTCAGCACCATGGCAGTCACTACCTTTACTCCCCTTTTAAATTTTGGAAAAGCCTTTGGAGAAAGTAGGCACTAGAGGATAAGGTTAATTTTGGCCTAATAGAGGGGAATTAACACTTGCTTCAATTCTTATTAAATTTTCCAAGACCATTTATCTGAAGAGAACAACCAAACAAAAGATTACAGTATTTTTTACAACAACAGGACAAATAAAGTTTCAGGAGAAGGGGTGGTCCTTGTTGATTACTGAATATTGGAATGCAAATGTAGCCAGTAGGTATTATCAAATAGCATCATTAATGGCTTAACAGTAACAACGAACTTTCTTATACTTACTGAGCATTTCTTTTACTCCCGATTAGTTGCTCCCTCAGCATTTGTTTGTCCTCAACATTTCTCCTGCCTCTTCTTAGTTTTACAATGTCTGCTAATTAAAACAGCATCGATTCACCGAAGTCTATTTACTAAGTACTAACGGCTGCTTTCTTGGATCCACTCGTTACTACTTGATCGTCGCCGATGGAGCTATCTAGATGCCTTTCATGGTGGATTTTCGTCGAAGGATCTATAAGTATGCAGTTCCCTCGAGTTCGAGCGATTATTTTTATAAGTTCTTCGAGGACGCATTCGTTCGATAAATTCGAACAAATAAGACTGGCCGATTCCTCCATACTCGACAGTCAACCCAACAAAGAAGGAAAATTCGAAACCTCTTGATAAATATGGCGTTAAACGTACGAAGTAAAAGCTGATGGCAAATCGATGGCAGTGGAACGTGTTAACGGTCGACGAATTTCAATTGTTGTGCCTCGTTCTCGAACGGTTATGCAGACTGTCGCTGACCAGCACCACTGAGGCGCAAATGCTTGGGAAATCGGGCGCGCGGTCTTTTGGCGATTTGGCGGGACTGCCTATGTTGCTGGATTTCTTCTCAAGGATATTCGAAATTTAAAAGGTAAAGTCGATGTATTTTGCTTTGTATATCGTGCTTCTACTGCCACATCTATGTTATAACCGGGAATAAACTACATTTGCATCCATATTTACATTTGTAGCATGTATGAGCACGCGTGTCGCGTGCGTATTGTAGTGATCCAGCTGAAAAAAGCCTTGTTGAAAAATTTAAGTGGTGTTAAGTCAGCAAAATATGTAGTTATGCAATGTTAAAATGCTAATTTATTGGTATTTGGCAGAAGTAGCTCAAGATTAATTGCTTGAGTAATTTATACTACCTCTGGCGCTATATTGACATATTGAGCGTAATACCTGTACATGTACCATTGATTTTGACAGGGGTAGGGTGGAGCCTTTATTTTATATGCGTTACTGTCATTTTTTTCTGTTTTGTTTTGTCATGTTTTCATATACAAGGTTGTTTTGTTTATAATAGTTTATAATGATACAGCTGTACATGTAAGCTGAGTCAAAAGGTCAAAAATGCTAAAATGTGCCACATGTGTATTTATAATGTTCATAAAGATAATGGCAACACAAGTAACATAATTCATTTAATTTCACAATATTATCAATAAAGGTAGAGTTAACAGTTATTTTTAGTGTGTTTAGTGACTTTTTTGTGTATTTGTTTCAGATTCTTCCTTGAGTGGTACAGGAGTTATTTCCAATGTTCTTGAAATTGAGTTGCATCACCTGAACTCTCCAAAAGATAAAGAGGTCAATGAAATACAGGTTCAGCATGGGGAAGCTGTTTGTGGTCTGTGCATGAAGCGATGCTACAGGGGTATTCCAGTGGGTCTCAATTTATTTACAGTAATCATTTTTTCCTCTTCACAAGATGACAGAATTGAAGCTTATATACTGAATGCTCCCATCCATCAATACCCCATCTGTTTGGGGTAAATGTCACAAAACAGAAACCTCACATGTACTTCCTTGGGTTATATTTTTTACCATCTTTACAGTATTATTTTTTCTTGTTCTTTGTGCGGTGCCCTGCTAAGGAAATCCATGTCCCTTTCACAGTGTTCTGCGGGAACATAATGTACTGAAATTGTGTGAAGCTATAGAACATTTGCACTCATAGAGGTTTCCCCACAGAGATATAAAGAGTGACAACATTATTCTTACAGAGGTAAACAATATGTACCACCCAATGCTCATTGATTTTGGAAAGGCTATCTTGCTATCGGATGCCCCTTCAAAACAGCAGTCCATGACTGCTCACTAGCACTGACATATAGCTTAAGAAATATGCCTCAGATATTATGTTTTCACTTGGCGTTACTAAGTCATGGCAAAAGTTTCTGGCAAAGTGAAAGTAGAAAGTGATTTTGTGGAAGGGCAAAGAAAATGCCTTCAGACAGATCCAAAGTTGAGATTTACTGTCACTGCTCAAAACAAATTTTTAGCTGGAACCTTTTTTTTGTCCAGCAATTATAAAATATCATATTCCTATTTAAAAAGGAAAATCAAAAAGTCATCTTACTGGGTGAATTCCTTTTCTAAATAAATCTATTAAAATTCGGCTCATTTAGTAAAAGAGTATAATAATATTGATGGTGTAAACCCCGTTGGTCTAAGAAGTTTAGGTTTAAGTGAAGAAATGCACCTGATGTTATTGTTGTTGAGTGAAGGCTGATATAAATCTCGCCAGTCTGTTTGAGCAGTTTAAAAAGACAAATCATATTGAACTCAAAATCAGGGTTGTAAAGAGCAGCAAAGAAATTATTCATTCATGTCTGTGCTGAGTTTCTATTCACAAATGATATGAAATACAAAGAAATTTCACCATTTGTTGTAGTATTGGCTGTTGGGCTTTCAAAATGTGGTCATTTTTAGGAGGCTTACCATCAAGATGTGGTCATCTCTAGGTATAGTCAGTGAAAACTAGAACAAATAGCGGTAAGAACAAAATTGTCAGTTTTGATGTGAAGTTTCTTGAATAAATGGCCATGAGGAAATTGTGTACAAGTGAATAATCTCAACCCTGACTTTGAAATGCACAGAACCATTTTTTTTTTTACCAAATTTAAGGTACTGTGGGTGGCCTTGTTATTGTTAGCTTTTTAATAATAATATTATGATGTAGAAAAAATACAGTAAATGATCTGACTACTGGACCTTTGTCCAGTAGATTTGTTGTAGTGTATTTACTTAATGTAAAGGGGAGGTAGTGTGGGCCCTCTGTAACTGTATACAACAGTTAACTGTGTCATTTTGAATTTTTAGTTTTAGTAATTGGAGATCCCTGCCCATTGTGCGACCCTAGGCTTTACTATTATCAAATGACAGAAGGGGAATGTAACACATGTCCAGGTTATGTACCATTGGCTCACTTCGAAGTGGTTATGTGATTTAGAATTGGACCTAAAAAAAGACCGGGGCCCAGTTGTTCCAAAGACCGATTAGCACTAACCCAGTGTTAGATTTTAACCTACGTTTCTTTTTCCTTTTAATCAAAAGCATTTTGTTAGATAATTTTCCCTTTTTTTTAAGTATCAAATCACCAAATTGTAGACAAAAGGAATTCAAATGAATTTGTTTTTAAAACTTTCATATCTGAATTCATATTTCGTACTAACCTTGGGTTATCTTAACCCAGCTTTAAACAACCCAGCCTGGAAGGATAAATGCTGCATGTTAGTTTTTTCTTTATAGCTTATAACTTTTCATGATCCAAGGCCAACTCAGAGCTCCTGTAACCCAGTAGGGGTCTGTTCATTTTTTAAGGAGTGGGGGGCGGGGGCTTTGTTGGGTGGGATTTGACCGGTAGTTCCTGTATATGAAGACCCTCTCTTCATCAGAATTTTTTGGGGAAGCCACAACCCCACTCCTTGTATCCCAAGATCAAATAACCAGGATTCAGGTGAATTTTAGCCAGCAAAAATGCTATGACTTTTTTTGGATTGAATAGGTAGTACTTAATGAACAGTGAGACTCAAACTCAGGGTTGCAAACAACAAAGTAAGAAAAATTAGCCTTTCATAAATTTGTCAGCTGAGTTAATGTTCAAATAAAATTGTGAGCAGTTTCACCATATTTTGTTGTAGTATTGGCTGTTGGGTTTTCAAAATGTGGTCATTTTTAGGAAGCCGGCCATCGAGATGTGGTCATCTCTAGGTGGGCAGTCAAAACTACAACAAATACTGGTTAAACTAAAATTGTTGGTTTTAAATTGAATTAAGTTTGTTGGTTAAATGGCCATGAGGAAATTATGTACAAGTGAATAATCACAACACTGAGTTTGAAATCCACAAAACCTTTTTATTTCGGACCAAATTTGATTTTTTAGTATGATGTACAAAAAATACAGTAAATGATCTGACCACTGGACCTAACCTTGTGTTATCTTAACACATCTTTGAGCAACCCAGTCCAGAAGTTTAAAGGCTGCATGTTAATTTGTTTCACTACCTTAGTTTTTTCTTTATAGCTCTAGACTTTTCATGATCTAAGGCCAACTCAGAGTTCCTGTGATCCTGTAACCCAATAAAGGTCTGTTCATTGTTTATGGGGGGTTGGGGCTTTGTCAGGTAGGATTTGACAATTCGACCGGTAGCTCCTGTAGATCCTCCTTGTATCCCAAGTTCAAGGGCCGTGGACAGAAAAAAAATAAGGACTGAGGCAATATCCATGGTTGAATTCCCCGCCTAGCTATTTAGGGTCTTTATGATGTCTACGTTGAAACCAAACACTGCCAAGATCAAACCTTAAATGACAGAGGCAAGTGCCTCGGTTTGCCTCATACTGGCTATGGCCCTGACTGTAGGAAATACACTGCATCAATGATCTGACTACTGGACCTTAATAACGAGTGGATTTGAATTAGTGTATTTGCTTTAAATTAGTAGCCCGGGAAAGGTTTATGCCAGGGGCGCTGTCAGAAAGGGACACCTTTTTCATGCTTCAGGTATGAAAGGATAGGGATTTCCTGAGGTAAAGTATGTGACAGGGTAGACTATCTGTCATTTCGTTCTGTAAAAAGACTAACAGAAGAAATTTGTGAATGTAAAATTGTCAAAAAAAATTAACTGGTTTCTGATTCCTTTATATTAAAATGACAGTGCACATAAAACAGTTAACAGGAAAGATGCATGTAAGGGGTTGGACCTCTGGGCGGAGTCTCACAGCGTGTACAAAATTTTATTGTAACAATGTAATGTTACAGTTGAGATTGGAAATTTACTTTAGTCACAAAACGGATCAAACATATAGGAAATGTCACATGCACATCACCTTTGACTGTCAGCAAATGTTATGCAGCTCACTATGTTTGCTCCCTTGCAAATATGGATAATTATGATGCAAATGTGCAAATTTATGATACAGCCAAATGTCTAGAAATTTATTGTTTTTGCTCTTAAGGCAAATACGAGTAAACCACATGCAAAAGTGTTCTTTTGGTATCCTGGAAAAACAAGAGCAAATACCACTGCAAATTAGGGGTTTTGCAATATTTTTGCCTGCATTTGAAGTAAAGTGAAAACTGTCATTTTTGCCAAGGATGTAAATTTGAGTAAACTGGTAGAAATGTTGAAGATTTGCCCATGCTGCAAATATGTATCAAATTTGTATCAAACCATTACATTTACTTCACTTTTGCGTATCAATACCTATCTAGCAAATATATGTATTTGCCCACACCTTAGCCGACAGCGCAAATGTAATGCAAATTTGGAGCTCCAAATTTACCACATATTTGCACCTTTCGCAAACATTAGTAAATCCGTTTTTTCGTCCAGTGAAAGTGTCGCTAATCGAATTTAAACAATTCCAAAATGACGCCTTGTCAGGATTTAAAGCTAGTTCGTCGAATTGTAATGTTTTTTCTTTGTGGAATCCTCTCTTCTTTGTGCCTAGGAGCTTTTTGTAATTATTCAAGGTTTTGTGATATCTTTCCCGCACTTCGGAGTTGAGGGGGTCACGGTGCTTTTCATTTGAGACTTTTCGTAATTCATGCCTTTTCAAGCGACATTCACAGTCGAACCATTTCTTGTTGGATGATTTCTTAATACGCTTATAAGTTTTCTTAGCTTTAATTTTTAGGCATAGCTTGGAGGTCTCAGTTCGAATTTTCATAGCGTTTTCTAAGGAGATATTCACATCTTCGGTGTTTCTCTCCATAAATTGTCTAATTAGAATTTGGATTGGTTCCGTACGCAGTGCGTTTTTGAATTTTAAATGTGAGTCAACTTACCAGCAAAATTGCCGTGGCAATTTTGATAATCTATTGCTACTATTTGGAGTGTGCATTTCGTCTCCAATTAACCTGGTGTTAAGATTGAGCCATGCCACGATGGCACTATGATCCGATAAATAAGATGGCTGTTTAACAACAAAATTTGCAACGTTGAGAAATGTACACTGATTACATATTAGATAATCAATAACGCTCGTTCCGTTTTTTCCATGAAAAGTGGGTCTGCCTAGGGTATCTCCATTAACTCTGCCATTAACTATTCTTAGGTCAAAAGTTTTACAAATTTCCAACAGCCGTTTCCCATGGCTATTTAAAACATTATCAAAACTGTTTCTTTGAGTTGCCTGGAAAGCAGATTCCGGCTGATCATTACTAATTATACTGTTTCCCTCCTTTGAGACAGTATCAGAGTATTTCCCGGTTCTCGAGTTAAAGTAACCCATGAGAATTATTGATCCTGTCGAAGAAAAACGTACTATGTCTTGTTCTAGCTGATCAAAAATTTCGTTATCGTAGTATTTTGAGTTACAGGGGGGTATATAGACACCACAGACGTAAATATTCTTCACTGAATTTAGAAAACGATTCTCAATTTTAAACCAAATAAAATGCTGAGTTGTTTTAGTGATGGAAATGTTTTTATGGAATTTGTTCTTATAAAACAAAGCGATTCCTCCGGAGTTACGCCCACCTCTCCCCGACTGATTTTGGGTGGGACATTGAAAAAAAGATTTGTATCCCGCAATTTCCAGATTAGAACAGTTGCGAATTTCTGTTAACAATATAAAATCGGAGTTATTAATAACACTCAAAAAATCAGTATTATCTAACTTATTTCCAAGATATTTCGAAGAAAGGCCATTCATATTCCAACCGCAAAAGGACAATGTGCTTGAAAGATCGGGACTATCTTCGGTGTCCGTAATTGTATAGAAAAAAATAAATAAATAAATGGATTACTCTTTATACTGGTATAAAGTTTATCATTAATACTTAATTCAGTGTCAAGGGTAAGATGAAATTGTTCATACAAATGATTTTATAAAACGAAGAAAGGATATGATTTCCTGAGGCATTGCTGAATCCGTTAATTTGTTGGAGGGGCGAGTTTCTTCACCTGCAGTTTCCATTTTAGCGGCCTGTGGAAACGTTTGATGCGGTGTTTTGGAGTATTGATGCATGCGATATAGTTGGTGGCGGAGCTGGGAGTATCTGGTCCGGCAGGGTTTGCATAGGAAGCTGGAATGCTTTATTTGAGGCATTTGGTTCATGATGTAGTGAATTTTGCAATGGTGTTGGAGGTATTCGTTGTGGAAGTTGTGGTGTGACAAATGGTAACGGCGGAGGTTGAGTTTGAAGAAGGTGAGGCCAACGAGGCACTTGAGGTGGTGTGTTCTTTACGGCATTGCTGTATGATGTGTGATGTAATAGTGGCTTGGGACCTTGGGAAGAAGTCGGTTGAGTTTGTGAGGATCTTTGTCTTTGGGCTGGCATTGTATTAGAAGGAACTGTAGGTTTTGGTCTGGCACGACCGCGAATTGCGTCCTTAAGGTTTTTGGCGAAAAATTTTAAGTACCGTTTAAGAATATGTTTCTGATCGTAAAGAATATTTGATTGATTCTCAAAGAGGTTGTCATGTTTGACTAACTGCACATTGGGTAATCTTGAGCAGCTACTGATCAACTGATTGTTTATTGAAGTTATTATTGGTGTCGGGATGTCGCTGCGGGGAAGAAGTGTTGAGTAGAATATTTTGCTTGAAGGAAATTTCGTTGAGGCTTCTGTGATCAATATTAAGATGTTAGAAATAAGATCTTCAGGAGAACTGGTTCTTTCTAGATCGTTTGTTCCTGTGTGTAATATGAGTAGTTGGGGAGCAGTGTGGATTTGACTTTGTAAGTACGATCTAGCGTGTTCAATCAGTGGAGTTCTAACATACTTCACTTCCTGGTCTGAAGAAAACATTTTTTCCATGTCTAAAAACTTTCCATTTGAATCACATAGAAAGATCACTGCATTAGAATTATTGGTGTCGTTGGTAGCAGGAGACTTAGGAGGGTGCTGGGAATTAGTGTCTACGGGTTTGTTTTGTGGTTCTTTTCTTGGCGGGTTTTCTGGTAGATCTTGAAGGGGAGAGAAAGGGTTTGATGTTGGAAGATTAACAAGCAGTATCTCATCTTCTGACCATTGGTTGTCGTTTGATGTAGGAATGGCAGCTTTATTCTTTGTGCTATCATTGAATTTGTCGTCCATTTCTTCACCAGAGGTCTGGCTCGACGTCTTAGTTGTTTCCGGCGGCAGTTGTATTGTTTCCCAGAGGGCTTTAATTTGGTCCTTAAGAAAGGTGATTTCCGCTTCAAGCTGGTTCTGTGTTCTTCTCATGGTTGCGTTATCCTCCGATATTTTCGCATTTTTCTTTTGAAGTGCTTGATTTTCATTCTGTAATTTGGAAATTAAGTCAGCGTGTTTTTGTAAATCGTGATTTAGAAGTTTAGTATTGTTTTCCAGATCATCAGCAAGGCCCCCTAGGGTTGTTGTTTGTACTTTGAAATTGTGATCTAGTTGGGCAGCTTTGTCTTTTAGGTGCTCGAGGTTACCAGCGTTTGTTACTTTAAACTCCGTAAAATCGGCTTCTAATTTTCCGACGGTATTTCGAAGAGTAGTTAAGGTGTTTAGCCTACTCGGTGTAAGGGAGAGTTCAATGGGTGTTGACAATTGCGTTATTCTTGTATTTCCTTTGTCTGCACTGGGTGTTTCTGTTTCTGTTATGTCACTGACAACATTTTCAGCATTTTCCACGGTAGTGTCGTTTAGTTCCGAAGCCCTTGTGTCCGCAATCTCACATCCTTTGTACTTTGTAAAAAACTTTTGGAGTTTTATATGGAATGTAGATTTGTCCTTTGCGCTAACAGCGCAGTAGTAGTAGTAGTAGTAGTAGTAGTAGTAGTAGTAGTAGTAGTAGTAGTAGTAGTAGTAGTAGTAGTAGTAGTAGTAGTAGTAGTAGTAGTAGTAGTAGTAGTAGTAGTAGTAGTGGTGGTGGTGGTGGTGGTGGTGGTAGTGGTAGTAATAGTAATAGTAATAAATTGCTTTATTTGCATGACCGCATCACTTTACAGTATTGCAAAAGCATGTATATGACAATCAAAATGAAAACAAAACAGCACTAATAACAATCTAGAAAAATTCGGTTACATTACTAACAATGAATCAAGTATTTTCATGCAGGAGGAGACAAACTTCATAACTAACTTATTTACATGATGTTCCTTCGAATTCATTATCAGTTTTATGCTTTCCGGAGATGATTTCTTGTCAAAGTCAGGTATTATTCGATTGATTTGATTAATAAATGCCTGTCTCTGTACTGAGTATTTGTTACATTGAAAGAGGAAATGAATCTCATCTTCTACCTGATTTGAGTTACATAAAGGACATAATCTATTTTCTCTTTGGCAAATGATCGATTTGGTATCGACCATGTTCAATCATAAGTTTGTGATTACTTATTTTAAATTTAACAAAATTCTGTCGTTCGTCATAATGTCTTAGCTGGTAGAGATAATCAGATGTAGAATATTCATATTTAAAAGTTTTATAAAATTCTAGTTTTTTTTGAATTTTCGAGGCTGTGCCGCCAAAAAAAAGATAGATATTTCTCTCTCATTTCTGTGGTATATCGTCTAATTTTATTATTATCTAGAGATTCAGCATCTAAACTGGTTAGATTGTATTGTTCAAGCATGTTTATGAAATTGGAAAAATATCCGGAATTATTCATAGAATGTAGATTCTTTGACATAAGGAAAGACTGTTTGACTATAGAGTCATTATCTTTGTTGTTGAGGTAAACAAAATATTTCATAATTTTCTGATTTATCGGGATAAGCAGCGGCAGTCTATCAAGTTCAGCTCTGCAGGCTATGTTAGAGGCCTTATTGTTAACCTCTAAGTAACGTTTACAGAATTTGAGGTGGATTTTTTTCTATTGGGGAGCTATCCCATTTTTAAAATCTTGCTTGGTGTACATTCCCCACACCTCGCTGTTGTAACTCAAGATTGGGAATACCATGGTGTCAAAAATTTGGGATGCAGTATTAAGATTAAGTTTGTTAAGAATTGTCCGCTTCCGAATACTAGAAAACGCGTGAAGGGCCTTTTCTTTTAAGTGTTCGAGTGCAAGTGTAAAGTTTCCCGTTGGAGTTAAACGTGTACCTAAATAAGTGTATTCTTGGACAATTTCAATTGACTCACTGCCTATGTTGAATTTGATGTCAATAGATTTTTTTGGGCGTTTCTGGAATATCATAATTTTTGTTTTCTTGGGATTAATTTTTAGCTTCCATTTGTCACAATACAAAGAAAGCGCATTTAAACAGTTCTGTAATCCAGTTTTCGATCTTGATAGAATAACTAAATCATCTGCGTACAAAAGTGAATTTATTTTTTTCCCATTTGGGAGAACAAATGGGTCAGATAAGGTGTTTTCGAATAAAAGTGGTAGATTGTTTAAGTAGAGGTTAAATAAAAGAGGACTTAAAATACAGCCTTGACGTAGTGGTAGTGGTAGTGGTAGTGGTAGTGGTAGTGGTAGTGGTAGTGGTAGTGGTAGTGGTAGTAGTAGTAGTAGTAGTAGCAGTAATCGTTTGCATTTCGTACCCGGACGTAGCTCTGCCTGACATAACCTTTGCTAGAGTTATATTTTTTTAAGCATAACTGGAACTGAATCTTTTCTTTGCGAGAAGTAGTAGTTACATTGAATGTTCACTTTCCTTTCCTTTAGCGCTTATAGGCTTGACCATTTGCCACCGTGTAGCTCTGCTCAGGATGCAAGTTCTAATCTCTCCACTGCTTGCCATGCTATTTACCTAATGCAGTGACAAGCGATACATTGTCCGGTGTGAAGTTTCCGTGGACTTCTATGGTAGAAAGTAATAACCCTCTTTATTAGAACCACTCATTTGCTGCTCTGTTAACATTTTCAAGTTCTGGGTAAATGCCCTTTGCTCCGCATGCTTGTCATCTATAGTTCATCTTGAAATGTGTTTTCTAGGATTTCCTTTTCAGCGTGGTCGTCGCCACATGCCACATATTCCATCCTTGGGCTATTCTCACTGTCATGCCATTAATTTCAAACCGTTTGTGTTTTACCCTGACAAACCCATTCAAGTGCAGATAACTGTCAATCATATGGATACCAGTGACAAATCGTATGTCCATGACGCGGCAGTATCGTGGGTTGAAAATGTGAATAACGACGGATTCACTGCTTGTGTGATGGCGGCAGGATATAACGAACGAAAGTCGTATGCTAACGTGACAGTTGATTGGATGGCGTACCAAGGTGCTCCAGTGGGTGGCGTGACTGGTGAAGTGCGCATGTCACAGTGGTGGACTGGTACGACTTGTGCGACTGTCAGGTTTCCTACATTGAGTGGCCTTTGTTGGGCTTTCTTGTCCTTTCCATTCTTTTCACGATCATATCTTTTGAAACGCCTCACTTCTACTGAGTTCACTCAGTTAATAACAGATCGTTTTCAATATGCATCAGCAGTGATTTGACGTTCTGGTGTAGCCGTACACTTATTACCAATCAATAGTCGAACAATGTCACTGTAGTACAAATTATTCTTTTACCAATTTCCAGCATATCACAAATGTCATGGGTTCCTTTTTGCAAAAATACGAAATTAATTCCTGTTCGTAGCTTTCTAAGAGTTGAGAGTTGCCTAACTCGCATTTATTTTTCAGGGAAAATTCTCTGTGATACCGTCGGTATTTGTGACTGCCAAGCATTACAATCCAGGATTAAAACGTGACGCAGCAAGCATATGGATTGAAGATGTCACACAATCATCCTGCAAAGTTTGCTTGAGAGAATTGCAAAACTACGCTGGATCACACCAAGACGTTGTTGTTGTAAGTAACGCTAATCTCATGGAGTCGAACGAACAGCGTTTTTCTTTGGAAACTAAGTGCAGCAGACTGGTATCTTTCTCCATCTCAGCTTTTCGCTTTTTTACGCTTCTAGCAGTTGGTCCAGCAGAGATGCACGATTTTTTGCTTGAAAATATATTTCCCTCCATCTGTTTCCTCTTCATCCGGCTTTGTCAACCTGACCATGCTATTGCTTTCTTGTAACCTAAGATGTCGGTGGCTGTTTTATATAAACCTTGTTGAGAGATTACCATTTATATTTTATTTTCGACGTTGACACAATCTTTTGGTAGTTAGGACGTGAGACTGAAAAAGAATTCTTTTTTTCTATTCTTATTTATTTATTTACTTTATTTCAGAATTGGTTAGCGTTTTCATATCTTGACGAGCCTCCCTTCTCAGAACACAATTCGATTTACTTTTCGAATGATAAACCTCCCGCGCAGAGTCACTATAATGCCTTCTGCAAGGTCAGTATTCCAGTCCTTTCATTAGTCTTATTGGTTTCAATTCCCGTCACAGTGCACTTAATTTTATTGAATAAATTTACTATCAGAGAGCAAAAGAAAACGGTTGCCCTATCCTGTCTCTAGTGATGGTAGTTGCATTTAATCAGTTTAGCAGGCTGCCTGTCATACTTCAGTGAATATTTAAAATGAAAATGAAATATAGATTATAAATACCCTAATGCGGAACAAGTCTTTACCTTTATATAAATGTCAGAGACTGAATTTTTACAATTATGTAATTTCTTTTGACAGGACGCTACTTTTACTAAAGTTTATAACTCAACTCCACATGTGTTTGTTTCTGCCAATCATTCCACCAAAAATGGAAGTCAGAGTCCAATTCATAACAGCATAGCTGAGTGGGTAGAGGTATGTTTTTAGTTATTTATTTAATTATTTGCTTTTCATTTATTTTATGAATTTGTATAACATACCACTTGCAACCACACTTACATGTGTTGTGTGCATGTTTAAAAACCTTATGAAAATACGAATGACTGTAATTAACACTCTCTATTTTACAATACAGAATGCGTTCTATTGAGAATAACAGCTTATAGAACACAAAACGTGCAAAAAAACAGCTCAAAAGTTAAATTTTATCCGTTTAACTAACGATCAGGAATAACCCTTGGCTAGTAAAATGGCCATGAATTATGGAAAGTCGTTAAAACTGTGTTTAAAAAAAAGCTGTGTAGCTGTATGACAGAAGGTAAGCAAATGTTGTCAAACAAACAGCAATGAGAAAACTAAAATTGATGTTAAGCAAGAGAGAATGAGCTAAGAGAGCGAATCCCTGTGCCCAATGATGATTATTTGAAATCTATTGAAAGTTCGCACGCGTGCGATGAAGGTTATTTTTATATGCTGTTTCCGTGACCCGCGCGGTCTACTTTCCCGTGAACGCGACATATTTCGCCTCCAACATTTGACAGTAGTTGACCAATTATCGCATGAGAGGTTTAAGTTGTTGACATGTAATAACGCGCACTCAATTGTCCTCTTTCCTCTTCCCTTTGAAGCCCTGTCATGCAAACTTGTTGAACAGGGTTGATCACTTCTTGATATGTGTCAAACTGAGAAATATGGAAAGTCTTCTGGCCAAGACCTACCTGAACTGTTCTATAGTTTTTTTTCTACTAGCAAGGGAGAAAATACGCCGTCAGCCGTCTGTGTGAACTACTTACTGAGCTGACAAACATCCCTTTCTTGCAGTACATCAACAAGACAGGCTTTCGTGCTTGTGTCAAAGAATTATGTGAAGCAAAATATGACCCATTGTCAGTAACGTACACAGTTTTGTCAGGTACTACTGCTAAAAAACTAATCATAAACTTCAGTACTTAGCAACTCTGTGAATAACGAAAAAGAAATACAAGCAATATACAAAAGGAATGCACAAAAACTGGAAGAAATAAGAAAAAAAATTCGGGTGGTGGTGAAAAACAACGTTCATCCCCTTTTCCAAATACACATTAATGTGTATAATAGAGTGCTTTATAATACTTGCAGTTGTCTTTCTCTTATGTATTGCCTTTATTTTGTCCTGAACAAAAAGCTTCTGCTTTTCCATTTCCTTTTTTAATCGCAAAATCGGAAATAACAAAAATGGTCGAAGGGCATAATTACACCTAAAGCTATATATACATTTTAAGCAATGTCATTTTGCACTTCACTAATTCCTACTTTGTATACGCGCAGACATCTGTCCATCTGGGTGGGATTACTTCAATGGATACTGCTATTTAACAAGCTCTGTATGCGCACCTTGGGTGACTGCTGTGTCCAACTGTTCAACTATGAACTCACATCTGGTAACAGTGCACAACCAAGAAGAAAATGTCTACATACAGCACCGTCATAATGGAGAGCGATCATGGATTGGACTTAATGATGGAAGCGTTGAGGGATCATTTGTCTGGACAAACAAGGAAATAACCAGTTTTCGGTTCTGGGCTCCGCAACAACCAAACGACTGGAAAAACGAAGACTGTGTTCACACTCTGGGTGCCAATGATGGCTACACTTGGAACGATGTGTCCTGCGATAACTGCTATAACTTTACGTGTGTTCAAGGTAAAAGCGGTCATCAGGTCCGTTTTACAACTTACATTAAATGATCTGTTGGTTGGCACCTGAGGTAATCTTATCTTCTGCAAAGGGTTGTGGTTCACTTCAATATTTCATGCTGCCAAAACGACAAAAAAACCACCCAATGTTAGCGCGCATGAATGTAGTATCATCTTTCAGTCATAGTTGGTAGAGAAGACTGGTTATGAAAGCTGGCAAACGGAATCAAAGCTTAAGATTTTAACATAGGTGCTGCAGTTTATGTTGGTAGCTATCTTCTTGTTTTCTCACAAAATGCGAATGAATAAAGTTAGGCAATGTTTTTATCGCCTGTGTACAGACCCCCCTTGCCCTTTTTGAGGGGAGGGGGCGTCCGTACACAGGCTACGATTTTATTGGTGAAAAGGATCAAAATGATAGGAATGCTATTGAACTTTTCACATCGTCGGATGAGTCCAAAAAAGGTAACCAAAAAAAAAACATATATACTGGTATAATAAAGACGTTTGTAGGGCTTCGAAGGCACTCCACTTTTATTAACTATTTTTCAGTTTATGTTTCAAACCTGACCGACTATGTCAAGGTAAAAATGGGCTCGCGACCGAGCTTATTAGACAGTTGTTAAGGTGTCATAACGTGAGGTGGAAGCATTGTGTCCAGTGTTTGGTAAAATTCAAAGAAATTTCGCTTTTTCTTTTCAAGAGTTTTATGATGAATTCAAGTTGAGAATATAATTTCAGAAAATAAGCACTTAGCAAGGTTATCAACTATAGAACATGTGAGTGAATGAAACACCGTGATTTCTTTTAGAAATTGACGAATGCACAACTAACTATCACAGATGTAATGTGAATGCTGCTTGCCAGAATACTGCGGGCTCATACAAATGTACTTGCAAAGCTGGATACTCTGGAAATGGCCGCAAATGTGTTGGTAAGTACTGAAGTTTGCTTTAAATGTCTTCCATATTTTGCCCTTTTGTTCGCAAACTGATCAACTTAGTTGTCCTCTGTTCTGATTTTATTTATAGACTAAATAAATATGCTTTATAGTGTATACACAGAACTGTTATGATTTTTTGTGGTCGAAACTTTCTAATTAGCCCTTAGTGGGTATTTAATCGGAATTTTAAGCAGTAAAAGAATATTTGCACTAATGTGTGGAACAACCTTTTACACGAATTTTCATTCCTTCAATCGAAACAATTACGAACTTCCGTTTGGGGACATATTTGTTTTCACTTTGAGAACTTCACTGGTAATAACGTAAAAGTTTGAGTTGATTTAAAAAAGACTCGAAAATGAAAATTTCACTTTTAGGCCTCAAGGTCGCCCCAATTCAGACAGAAGGCAATAAAAAGCCCCCAGAGGTCTGACATGTCTTAATAAAGGACAGTCGGGAGGAAATGTCAGGGAAGGTATTACCTTGTTGTTTTCGGCGCATGAAATCAATGTTTTATAATTTTGTCTTTGTTTTTAGAAATCGACGAGTGTAAGAGCAAAACCCATAACTGTAACAAAAATGCGTTATGTAAGAACACTGAGGGGTCTTTTACTTGCACCTGCAATCGCGGTTACAAGGGAGATGGAAAGAAGTGTAGAGGTATCTATCTAGCGCTCTTTAAAGGTGGCTTTCCAGCGTCGCGTAATTTTTAGGTGTGTAGGCTCTTTAGTTTTAAGTACGTATATAAAATAACGGCTATGTATCAAAGGTTGTGCGTAAACGTAAAACTTGAACCTCGCTCAACTTTTACGCGCGGCCTTTCATACATTGCCTCCAGGGCCCTGACTGCCTCTATTATATTAACGCACGTACATTTTACTTGCGTACGCACAGAAATATTACGCGGCAGTGGAAATCCACCCTAAGTTCTTTATCACCTAACGATATAGTTTATACATCCAGCACGTGCGTTCATTCCATTGCTTGTATTTATTCTCCCTGGCACCGGTTGTTCAAACGCTGGATAGCGCTTTGCATCAGATAAATCACTACACAGTGGATAACTATTAGTAAAACTGACTGCGCTATCTACTGCATGGTGATTTGACTAGCGGCTAGCCTTATTCAGCTTTTGAACAAATTGTCCAGGTAATTTTATAACACTACCATAGCCACACAAGCCGTCGCGTTCATCTGTAACGTAGATTTCAAAGAATAGAATGTAAAGGAAGAATTATCAGTTTACTTGCCTTTTAAAGGTAAAATAAATGCAGTTTATGATTTTCATTTAGATATCGACGAGTGTACAAGCAAAATCCATAAATGTGACAGAAATGCGTTATGTAAGAACGCTGAAGGGTCTTTCACCTGCACCTGTAAACCCGGTTACAAGGGAGATGGCAAGAAGTGTAAAGGTAAATATCTCAGTAGAACACGCAATTATCGCATTCTCTGCTTTTAATTTATTAGACTGAGGCAAACACATTTGTCGTGGATTCTTAGCTGTGAACTGGAATTAGCCTACAGTACGTACAGGCTTAAGCCGGGAAATCTGTTCAAATGCATTATTATTTTTAATAATTTTCCTCCCTAGTAGCCTCAACTCTAAATTACTTCTACTTCCTGCAACAGGAATCACTGCTCATCCGAATGAATAAAGCAAGATCCGGGAAGCCGTTTACCTGTATATTATTAGTCAGATTTTGAGTCTCTTTTCACAGTTGATCTGTAATGTTGATATCTATTTTTTTGTAGCGACACGCGGGCTGTTTTCCTACGATCCCGCTCAATCCTGCAAAGAAATCAAGGACTTAGGTACCTCCAATGGCGACGGGGAGTACTGGATTGACCCTGGAAGGACTAATAGTCCTTTTAAGGCATATTGTGACATGACAACTGACGGAGGTATGGTTTGAATTGAAGCTAGGGGAAACCCATTTTTTCTAAAGTAAGTTCAGGAAATCCTAAATACCTACCTTGATCTAATACCTAAAAACATGGCCGAAACAGCAAAACTACATCTCATACTTGAAGAATATCTTCAAGACAAAGCATCCCCTTGGATCCTGAATTTGCCTAGGAACAGGAACGTGAAATCCATCAGTTTATCAATTTTTCTTATAACTGTCAAGTGTTACCATGGAGAAGTTGTTTGAATGAATAATAATATGCATTTTTTGCGCCAAGCCTCGTTTTAGTATCAATTTCACACTAGCAAGCGCCTAGCGAGTCACGAATTTCTTAGTCTCGGGTTCCTAGTTCTGTACAGTACCGCAAACGATCCTCAAAGTAGACCGTAAATGATCCCCATTGTCGACCGCAAGTGATCCCGTGAAAAGTAGAGGACTGGAATACTGTTTTAGGCATGGATGGTGAATGTTCTGAGAGTTTGCACATCGCGTAGAACAATGAATAAATAAAACTGTTTCTTTTGGTACTTTTTTCTCCTTTCGTTATTCAAGCATTTGATGTTTCGTTGCCGTGAAGATTTAGGACAGGAAGGACGTTAAGAAGGAAATTTTTCTTTCATTTTAACGCCTAGGAATAGGGAAATATGACCCCGGAATATGATCCCTGTATTTATCACTCTGTACAGGTTTTTGGTTTATTTCGAAATACGCTTAGCAACTTAGCCTGGGAAGCGCCAGACGCATTTCCGGAAATGCGTCTGGCGCTTCGCAGGCTATTAGTAACTACAACTCGTGAAAATGTTGCGCCTAGTGGTAAGGACCCTGTCGGCGCAAACCTGTATATTCATTTTCCGTGTCTTTACTGCTGGAGACACAGACAGTTACAAAGATACAACATTAGGGAAAGAGAAACGAAGGAACAACGATTAAGGGGAAAATTTTGTACCCATGAGCAAAGAATTATCTTAATGGGGTTCAGTCTACTAGAGCGAGCTTTTATCTGGGTTTTTTTTTTCAGAGATTTTCGCGGTTACAAAAGTTATCATTTTCTAAAGTTTATACGAAGTATCCAAAAGATCGGATTTGAGCAATTTTTTCTTATTGCATCTAATTGTTCTACAGTACGTGAGTTTTAGTTCAGTTAAGCTCAGGAGCCTATCAAATGGGCTCCTGTTAAGCTTTAATGTTAACCAGCAGTTAAGCAGAGCTATTGTTTTACTGGTTGCATTTAAGTTCTTTTTAATTTTTGTTTGCATTTATTTGTGTAATGTTCAAGGTTTCTTTCTTTTTCAGTCTTGGCATTTATTTGTTAAATTAATTCAGTTGAATTAATTCGTTTTGTTACGATAATAAACGTGACACGATGAACCAGTAACTTAAGTCCAGGCCATTCTCGGATTTCCCTCTCGGGATCATTTGCGGTCGACAATGGGGATCATTTGCGGTCCATTTTGGGGGATCATTTTTGGTCTGAGGACCACTGACGGTCACGCGGGATCAGTTGCGGTACTGTTCAGTTCGCCTGAGTAATATTGTAAAACATTGATATAAAGGCTCACAGCGGGTAGCCTCCCAAGTTTTTAGGGGTTCGTCACGCGTTCCTGCCCATGGGAGGCTACATCTGGGTTTCCGCCGTGTGAATTATTTTGAACTGAACATTACTGCTTGCTTTGGCCCACATGACTTGATAAACCAAATGCAATGATAAACATTTATCGAATTTCAGGGGGATGGCTTCTTGTATCGAACGTTGTTTCGCACGGTTCATCTCCCACTCAGTTGCCAGTTAAGACATCGTACCGCGGAGTAAGCAGCAAAGAAATGGTACTCACAAAAAGCGCCATGAAGGAGCTGAGGAAGCACTTGCATTTCACTCGGATAAGATTCCGCTGCAAAAAAAGAGGAGGTCGTACATTTCACATCACCACGGCTGCTAACAGCAAAGGTGAGACTGCTGTGAAATACTTCAGTGGTGAGACAGATGTGATGCCTGCCTCTTGCGGCTCGTTTGTGCTCATGAGCAATGATAACTCGCGGTTAGCAAGAACCTGCAAGGATTGGGGATACCAAAGAGGTTCTTTCAAAGTTGGCAAATGGGGGAATGAAAGAGATCAGGATCGATTATACAACCACCCTGCTTTTGTAATGGTAGCTTACCACTGGCTTCTTATATCATCTAGCAGGTGGGAATGCGACGATTATAATGTGGGAGTGTCCCCTGGCGATTTTTGGAAAGTCTTTGTGCGATAGGAAGTCACCATAACGGAAGTCGTCCTCAAGGTTTAAGGGTAGTTTTGTTTTTTAAAGATGCTTAACGCGTATTAGGCATTATTCAACACCATGATCTAAGATAAGAACTAGTAAGAGGTACTGTAATAGCCAGGAGCTTATGGGCTCCTGAAAGGTCATATGAGTGAAAGGGGAATAAAATAACACCCTGTATTAAATGGTATGGTATTAGATACAATAAAAACAAAGAAAGTGGGTAATTCAACAGTGTCGGCTTTCCTTCTTACCCCCAAAACCATAGAAAGATGCAATTTAACGTAGAGAGCTTTCTACCTAAATAGTCTGCTGCAGCAGTTAAACTAGCTCCATAGCATGCTTGTTATTATATCCGTGTTCCTCACGTATTTCCAAGGGGATTCTCCATTCCCTCCCCCACCGATCAACAGGACAAAAAGTAAGTGATAATCAAGATTGATGAAAAAAAATCCCTACCCTTTCATATACCTGAAACCTGAAAAAGGTGCCCCCTTCGGGCGGAGCCTCCCCGTACAGGCCATTATAGGGAGTACCCCCGGATCCCCTCTCAAGTGTGCTCTCGATATACTGTGACTCAAAAGAGGAAAAAGAGACTGCTCTCAGTCTACCAACTCCAATAAGCGACACATCTAACCGGAAACACCAAATTTTTTTTGCACAGGAAGCCCTGTCGTTAGAATTCCTTGTAAACGAGCACTATTTAGGGTGACGGTTACGTAATTTTCCGTTCTTTTAATCTCTTTAAGCGATCACTAGACACACTGTAAGATCTCTAAGTTCGCTGTATGTACTACGCTGCTCAGAGTATACGAATACCTACATGAATTAGTGACAACACGGAAAAACACATATCATAACTTTACATGCAATAAGTTCTCTTCCAAAAAGTAAGTGTATCGCCAGTTTCGTCACCTCTTCTCGAAAGAGACAATTGCAGTTTGACTTTCGTAAGCGACCCACAAAATCTTTGCATTTTGGCTGGTGGCCTTACGGATGGTTCGACTGTAATTGCACTAACCTACCGGGGCAAAACCTCCTAAGTTTGAGTATACACTAGGTCGCCATTACAAAGACTTGGAAAGATGGTCACCAAAGCTGTATTAAACAAAGATTCTATTTTCCCGAACAGCGGCTGGAAATCGAGCCTAAGTGTTACAATGACATCAGAGTTGTCATAATAACGAAATGACGTCATTACCTATTTTACTTGCACATGAGATCTCTTGATTTGTAGCCTATTTCTTGATACTTCTTTTCGCAATTGATAATTTCAATATATGAAATTCATGAACCAATTTAATGACCAGCTCCCAATTGTTGCGATGATCCTCTTACATTTATTTCTTCACCCTGCAGTTTCAATATATGAAATTGATATAATTTATTTTTCCTGGGTGTATCTCCCAGTTGTCTTGCCATCTCAATTGGTTAGAGCCATGCACCGGTGTCTCAAAGGTCAGGGTTCAAATCCTGGCAAGTCTGGCAGTCTTTGACTGCGATGATCTTCTCTACATCGATATGTAACAGCAACCACAACAAATACGTACGTTATCGCAAAAACCTCGCGAGCCTAGAAAGAGTCAGCAGTGAGAATAAAGGGAAACAACCCAAAGGGGAAGAAAAAGTTCAACAAACAAACAAAAAAACAGGAACTAAACAGATAAAAAACGTACAAAGAAAAAGAAAATACAGTCGAAGTTCTCGTTTGCGACCACCTCGGAAATTCGAAACTGTGGCCGTAACTAACTTTTACCACATGGTAAAACAATAGAGGGTGGTCGATTACGAGAGTTTAAGAAAATTATTAGTAATTGGTAAAGAAAGGTGTTCATAACTAGACCTGGTCGCTTACGGGAGAAGTCTCAAGGAGAACTTCGACTGTAGCTTCATCGGGATTTGAACCAACTCTATGATGACGTCAGCTTCTAACCACATTGCGCCACGCTGCCACCGCTGCCACGTACGTTCACTAGTTAATTTGTGAGCTAAAATCAGGCTAAAATTATTAATTATATTTATACCATTTCACTGTCACTGTTTGAAGCTGGTGGAAAGAAAATTAGGTATTTAAGCGTATTTCAAATCAATTTTGCATTATTGCATTCAATTTAATCTCGGGTTTAACGGCTGATCGATGTACGGAGTTGTTGCTATATGATGTGGGTCCCTAGACATTGACTTTTGCTTACGATCTAGGTACAACTAGATAGTCTGCGCAAAAGAATCTTGTAGTTGATCAATCGTGCTGAAAGCTTTCAACAGGTCGAGAAGCAGCAGAATAACGATTAAAGCCTAATGCTGATATTTCTTAGTATTATGTAATGGTCATTGTATCAAAAATCAACCAATTCATCTCCATTGTTGTAATAATAATTTTCTAAATTACCTACAATTACCTACAAAAAATACCAACATTTGTAAACTTACCAATGATTTTCAATGCTGAAGTAGTATTTTTTTTTACGATTACAATGTTATACCAACTTGAAATCTTATATTTTCCTTTTTTTTGGTAATTCATCCGTTTTTCACTTGAACTTGGGCTTCGAGGGACTCATTTTGGGGTTAGCAATCGTCGGGACCGTCCCTTTTGCTACCTTTTTGGTTCCAGACAAGGTCTTCATGATTTGTTGGATCTCAAAATGCTCGGAGCATACATGCAGATACATAGAATCAAACTCTTTATCAGCGCGAGGACAAAGACGATCTTTTTTGTTATAAGATTCTTCTAACTCGAAAAATCGAAAGAGTTGAGGGAGGTCTGACCTTTTTAAATTATTTCTCTAGTTCATGTGCTTTCAAAAATGGGCGCCCTTTCCCTTAAGCTTCGACTTGAAGCTATGAAGTAGTTACCCGGCGTTCTGGCTCAAACAGTTGGAACTGGGCAACTCCATTCGAAATACAACGTCACGTGACCGAATTGTGTCCATGTACTGTAGTTAACAAATTGACACCAGTTTTTTATCGTCTGTCCTCTTATTGATGATAAAATGACATCATAACATTGTCAAAGTGTTGTGGATCCCCGAGCCGCATACAATAACAAAAGCTCGAAAAAGTCAAATATTGCCGGTAAAAATGAAGACAACACAAGAAAATTTATGACTTTTTTAAACTAGCGCAATGTTATTGTCAATAAGTTTTCTCGCTTGGCTACTGATAACAAGTAACGGAGTTCTATTGGCTAAAAGTTTGACAGGTCGAGTCACGTCACTGCCCTGCATAAATTTGTTTTGCAAACTTCAAACAAGAATGAGATCAGCGATGTTTATTGCCTTGAAAAACGGGGGCATTGTAGGGCTGTATAAAGTCGTAAACTAGCCCAAGGTTACAATACAATACAATAACTTTAATGAGGTTAATTATTAGGTTAATTATTGTTCCAAGGAAAGATTTTGGAGCGGTTAAAGTAAGCGAACAAGTCGAAGCAATGCACGGTTAAACTGTCTGTAGATCAAACTAGCCTGACAGTTTAGAAGAGTTGTTAACCGATCAGTACGAACAGAAGTCGTGTACGGCCGGTTGTTTACTTCAGTTCTAGTCTTGTTTGTCGTAATGAATGCCATTCAGCTATATGAGCTGTGTACAATCAAACCGAAAGGTGGGTTTTATAGGCATGAAGTTTTAAATTCAACTTACCAGGTACTTACAAAGTTTCATAAAGTTTGTACAAAAAGTTTGTTTTGCTTTCGGAAAAAAGGATCAAAAAAACACTCAGTTCTTGTCAAAAGAAAACTACCGTTATAAATGTGCTTATTTTTAATAAACTAGTCGACTTTCAGAATTGTTTTCTTACTTTTTCAACTTTCAAGCTATTTACGAACATTAAAAGCTTATCTAAGTCGCAGTTTTGAAACTGTACCATTTCTAACAAGTCGTCCCCTCTTTTGGAAACTAAGTGTCCTGTTTAGTTTCCTCTGCTTAACCTTTCTGCAGAGAATCCAAACGGGATGCAATTCTTGCATCAGAACTGTCTGGCTATTACTCTCAGAGAACTACGGTGGCCCGTAAGGAACATTACAATATATTTTTTCCCTTAAGGTGACTCGACCCAGTTTTTTTGGGGGGGCTACCATCCTACTTTGAAGCTCTCTGGTATCCCCACCTGTACTTTTATCGTAAGTCTAACACATAGAATGGATAACATATAGATCAATTTACAATATAACATAAAAGTTTTGGCGATCGGAGTAAATGTCACGTGGTTATAATGCCACGCCCCTTTGAGGTCTGAGTCGAAAACCTGCTGTTGCCGGCATTTTTTCGTGAAAATCTCTCGGCTACACATAGTGCGCATTAGTGCCTTGCGCTGAACAGAGTTTCACCAAAATCGCAAAGACCCAATTCGAGAAATTCAGCGGTTTCCAAATTTAGGTCATAATTTATGCGAAAATGATAAGCAAACTTTACACGGATTATATCTAATAAACTATGAGATTCATCTCTGTATTTTGGGCATCGTTATAACAGATGGGTCCTTGCAAGTCCGCAAAACAATTTAGGGCCTTGTAAATGCGCGCGATTTCGAGCAAAGCAAACATATAGAAATTATAGGTTTCGCAATTTGTTGACGTTTGTCAGCGTTTAAGAGTCAATCTCACGAAAAAGGCATTTTCTTAAAAATTCGTAGTTTTTTTTCCTTCCAATTTTTTCAGGGCCACAATTGACTGATTAACTAACTACCCGGACTCTGAATTTCATGTAATATATCAAACATGAGATGCAGTGTTTCATCACCAGATGAAACACCGAGAAGAGAGTTGAAAATACGACGCGCAGCGGAGTATTTTTGACGAACTTCGAGGTGTTTCATCTGGTGATGAAACACTGTGTCGAATGTTTGATATTTCTTCTCAAACAAAATCATTTTTGAAGGAGAAATTAAGGATGCAAATACTAAGCAGTGTTTCATCCGATTTCCAAACACTCATTAAACATTAATTTCCTTTGTATTTTCTTAATGAATTATTAATGAGTTTGAGAAG